CCCGTGCTGCTCCTCGGCGGCCCCTCCGCCTCGGGGGCGGCGCCTCTCCTGCCTCAACAAGGTGAGCGAGTGTGGCTGTGAGGAGGCCTGGTGTCCAGAGGAAGAGCCGATCCCGGAAACGCCGGCTCCGTGGGGGAACCCGTGTGAGGACTGCCCTCACTCCAAAACGTCTCCTGACCTGCCCCTCCTCTCTGTTCCTCCTGCCTTGGCCTCCCGAGTGACACAGCCTCCCCACTAGCCGGCGGCAGCGCCCTCTGAAGACGCAGATCTGAGCAGACCCCTCCGCCACCTCTGCTGGTGACCGGGCGCATCTGGTCAACTTCCTTCCCACAGGAGAACCCGAGGGAGGGCGGAGCCCTCCGTGGGACGCCACAGCTCTGGCCCCACCTCGGTGCCTGTTTCCAGGGCCACGGGGCCACGACAGCTGCCCGCGCTGTGTGGAGGGGCTGCCAACAGAATGCCCATTGGCTCCCACAAGGTAGTGGACTGTCCACACTGAGCTGACTGCTCAGTGCACTTCTGTGTGAACGTTTATTCTGCAACCTACTGAATGCCAAGTACAGTGGACAGATCAAGAACAAAAAGCACAGCCCTGACTGGTATAGCTCAGGGGACTGAACGTAGGCCCAAGAACCAAAGGGTCACTGGTTCACTTCCCAGTCAAGGCACATGCCTGGGTTGTGGGCTTGGTCCCTGGTAGAGGGCCCATGAAAGGCAATCATGCATTGATGTTTCTCTCCCTCTCTTCCTCCTTCCCTTCCATCTCCCTAAAAATAAATAAAATCCTTAAAAAAAAGAGTGAAAAATATAGGCCTTTATCTTCCTAGGCAGAGAAATCTGGGTTCAAATCCTGCCTGCTAACCGTGGGGAAATGCTTAACACTCTGAACCTCAGTTGCCTCACCTGTTAAATGGGCATGATAACTCTATCTTGCCCACAGTCTTACCAAAAGAGACGGCCTGCACAACCATGCATGTTCACGCTTTACCACTGACTTGCCCAACTTCCCTGGAACCCCTTCACCGCCTACCCCAGGCAGCCACTGCCATTGCTCCTGGGCTCAAACGGGCACTGGGCACAGCCCGCAGCCGCTCTTCCCGTTTGCCCCGGAGCTGCACGTCGTTAACTCAGACGCGTCCCCGCACTGCCTCCTGGCCCCTCCTTGTGCCGTTACTTACACTGGAAACCTGCCCTGGCTTTAATGCACCTCAGATGAGTTATGTGACCGGCCATTGGGATGGTGACAGAAGCATGAGTTTCCTCAGTGAAGCCCAAGAGCACAGGCGAGCCAAACAAGGCCCATGGCCCCGGCCCGGTGCGCTGAGGACAGCCACCCATCAGGCCTTGTTTGGCTTGGCAGGAGGCACTGCTCTCGGCAAGCCGGAACCAGACCCTGGCCATGGGCTGACAGCTCTGATTTAAACTATTAGGAAGCCTGCAGATTAAATATTTGTCCAGGTCGCCGTAAACCGGGTGGAATTCTAAACAGTTTGGAACAGTAAGTGATGCAGGAAACGGTCTCCGGATACCAATGTAGGATTTTCCACCATTACCAGGTGGCAGGGTGTGGGGCGGGCAGGCTGTGGTAGAGCTGGCTGCCTGGGGGTTCGACGCCACTTCCCGGGCCAGGGTTCCTGGAAGACCAGGGCCCATTTCCATGCACAACGATGGGCTCTGCCCCAGGGAGCACTGGCTCTGCCTCTGGGATGGCTCGAGAACAGCCCTGCCCACAGGCCAGGGGCTTCGGGCCCCTGTGGCGCAGCAGAGGCTCCAGGAAGCGCCCCAGGGGGAGGCTGGCAACACGTTTGCCTGCAGTGCAGCTTTCAGGTGCATGGAGACTCTCTTGTGAGCAAAACACAAGTTCACCTGAGTTACTACATGCACGCTTCCTGGCACATACATTATCAGTGGCTGTTGCAAGCAGAACAACTGCCTGAGATAAACCTCGGATGTTAAAGGGAACCCTCATAAAGGTAGTAATGGCCAGAATGGGGACTGGGAACAGGAGCCAAGTGCCACTTGTCCGGCCCCCTGCGCCCTTTACACAAGGCAGCCAGCACACCGGTGCGAGGCCTTCCTCCTGCCTGGATGCTTAACGTAGCATCCGAAGCAGAAGCTAAGATGAGTCCACTCCAGGGGAGGCCGCGCTTTCCAGTCCAGCCGCCCGGTCCAACTCAGATGCACCTTCTCCAGCAGGGAAGCAACCACGAACGGAGGGGCACAACCTTCCATCCCGCCCACTTTCCAGGGGGCGGAGAGGGGCTAACGGTGGGATCAATCACCAACGGCTCGAGAGTGAGCCAGTGGTGTCTGTGTACCAGAGCCTCCACAGAACCCGCAGACATGGGGTTCGGAGAGCTTCCAGGCTGGGGAGCCAGACTCCTCCATGTGCCACCACTCGGGGCCCCGACTCCACAAGGAGAGAGGCTCCTCTTCTGCTTGGACCCCCCCACTCTTCGTCTCTTCATTTGGCTATTAATTTGTATCCTTTAACACCCTCTGTCGTAAACCAGTAAACGGGTTTCCCGGGTTCTGTGAGCCTCTCCAGCAAATTAATGGAACCCAAGGAAGGCACTGGGACACTTCTGGTTCGTGGCTGGTCGGTGAGAACACAGATGACAATCTGCACTTGTAACTGGTGTGTGTGCGCGTGCGCGTGTGTGTGTGCGTGTGTCGGGGTGCAGTCCTCCAGAACTGAGCCCTTACCCTGTGGGACCTGATGCCATCCCCACGGAGTGTCCAAATTAAGCTGAACTGCAGAACACCCTGCTGGTGTCTTGAGAAGCGCCCGGTGGGAGTGTGGGGACCACACCCCTCCCCACAGTGGACACAGGTACAGAAGCCAAAAGAGTAGCACTTGTCAAAATTTAATGTGTGCACAAATTGCCCGGAGAATGTTGTTAAACTCAGATCCCAATTTGGTTAAGTTTGGGCAGGGCCCAAGGCCTCTGCATTTCTGACACACCCTGGGCGATGCTGGTGCTGGCCCCGGGCAAGGCAGTGGAGGGCAGGGTGCAGATGTCCTAGAGGTGTAGCAAGGGGACTCTCAGAGACCTGGCCTGCCCAAGACCCGCTGACAGGGTGGCTCATGACCTCAGAGATGGGGACGGAGCAAGCAAAGCACCGTGTCTCGCAGCACAGAAGGAGCCTGAGGTCCCAGAACACGGGGAGCGTGAAGAGAAAGCCACGGCCAAGCCCGCAGTCACCTGGTCCCACTGAGGCAGGAAGCTGGCTGGGAGTCGGCAGGCCATGACCAACCAGAGCTCAAAGGGCACTTAGTTGAAAATAAGTAATAACAGTGGATTTTCATCTGACTAAATAAGCGCAACCTACAGAAAAGGACCCTAACAAAAACGCTTGCCAGACCGACACCTCCCTCAGGAGGTCTCGGGGAGCTACGCCGGAGGGCTCCGAGCCTGGCCCAGAGCCGATTAATGTAAGGCACAGAGTCATCGTGGCTCATGTGCAAGTGACAAAGCCAGACGCAGCAGCTAACACCTGGTTCACTGACACCAAGCTTCAATATAACCAATACGAGCAGAGTGGCTAAAACGGCAACATGTGAGGATAAATAGAAAACCTCATTTGAAAAAACACTGGCTGCATAACAACAGATTGGGAAATCCGTGGACCCTCAGGGGCCATGGGACAAAGATGGGGGACAGGTGCCAGTGGGTGGCTGCATGCGCAGGCAGTGCCAGCCGAAGCCACCCTGGGCACATTTTGGAGGACAGGCTCTGCTCCAGCTGCCATTCTGCACAGAGGCTGAAATAAAAGGGGTGAGCCATCTCCCAAAGCAGCAAGTGCCTCATGCAGGGAGGACTGCGGGAGGCATCCTGTCGGGTGGGATGTGACCGCTGAGCTCTTCCAATGCCGAGACCCTGAGACTCAGGCAGCCTTTGGATTGCTCTGGCCAAATGTACTCAATTCTCCTTTACGAGGTGAAGGACAGCTCTGAGCTCTGAAAGGCGCCCTGCTGGGGCCTGCACTGAGGCACTCAGCGAGCGTCACTCAGGGTGTCACTCAGCTCCATCCTCAGTCTGATGCTGGGCAGGGGCGCACGCGCGCAGAGCCGAGCAGAGAGCAGGCTGGCCATCTCGCCTGTCAGTTACTGGTCCCTTCCAGGCACCTGCATGGGGAGGCCAGTAAACTGGCTGAGATGCTTAAAGCAGGCACGCCTTTGGAATGCCTTTAAGCTTTTATTTCAGCCTTTACTCTCCTTTGGGGGGACCTGGCTACTGTCCCCTGCAGCCTGTTGCAAACTGTCTGGGTTGACCCTCTGGGTCTTCTGTCCCGCTCCACGCTGCCCAGCCCCCCTGCCCGATTCTGCCCACCAGTTCTCTCTGCAGAAAGCACCTTCCCGCCAGTGCCCTATGTCCACATCCGTCCTTCCTGCACTGTGACAAGCAGCCAGACTTTCCTCTAGCCCAGCACACCCCTTCTCCATCTACAGCACCACGGCAGCCACGTGACCCGAGTCTGGCCATGTGGTTCCTCCCCACAGTCTCAAGGACGAGATTCTGTGGCGGCCCGGTGACCATACCTGGGCCAGTGAGATGTTTCTGGGGGAGAGGAGACATATTCTGAAGGAGAAGCGTGTCCCCCAGGGGACACAGGGACACAGGGTCCCAGCAGCACGCTCCACGTCCCAGACCCAGCCATGCCCAATGAAGCCTGAATTTCTCGGTCATGCGAGCTGACTCGTTTCAATTTTCTACTTAAGTCAGAGTTTTACATCTGTCACTTGCAACCACGAGTCCTAATACATACTCTAAGTCACAACCGGAAGTTAAATCATTCTGGCATGTTATCAGCGGTCCGTCCTAAACATCACAGGAGCATTTTAATGCAAACACCCAAAGAGAAAACCTCCCGTGACTGAATCCTGGGACTCACTGTGGGGAGTTCCTGTCAGGAACAGACGCTGGCCCAGGACCCCTCGGTTGGGACAACTGCCCACTCATCCCCACAGTCGGCTCTGTGGGCACTGGCAACTCTACCTGTCTGGTAAGGCTGCCTCCGAGGTTCATGGTACCAGAGCCGGATTTGTTGGTTTGCAGCCACAGCATCACCGTGGAGGTCAGCTTGTAATGGGCAGTGCGACCACTGGACTTCTCCTGGGGGACGAGACAGGGGTCAGAACCTTGCGCAAACCCCAAGCTGGGGAAAGCCTGAGGGGGCCCGAGTTCAGGATCACCCTAATGTGCCCCTTCCTACGACGTCACCACAATACTACCTTCCTTATAAAATCCTTAAAGGTTTTTAAAAGAACTAAATCTGCAATCATGTGGATTCAGTTCTTCTGGAACCTTTACCATCACCAACTACTGCTGCCCTGACTCATCTGCATCCAAATGGCTTTGGGGCATCTGGGGAATTGATGGGTTTAAGCACCCCAGCACCCTCTTCAAAAAGCACCTGCTGGAGAACGGGGCTGGGCAGCCCAGCGGGGCACCTGCAGCGGAGGCCCTGGGCCCGCGGCTGCTGGGGCCGTACCTGCACTTCCACCACGTGGATGGAATCCCAGCAGCCTTTGATCTTCTTTGATCCGTCTCCAGCCTTCTTGATGAGGATCACTCCCGCGAAGCCGTGATCCAGATCCCAGAGGTAGACAGACGAGACGCCGCCCTCAAAGTACCTGCAGGAAACAGGCCCGCGTGCCCATTAGACGTCAAGTCCGTCAAATTACAGACCTCAGCTCAGGTGCCAGGGGCTGTCATTTGGCACAGAGCCACCTATGTGTCTGTCTGGAGCCAGGGACCCTTCCCGCAATGGTTCCAGGGTTGACCCTCACACGTGTCCTGAATACCCGTTGGTCAGAAATGGGGGTGCTGCCTTCTTTGGGGGTCACAGAAAAAACACGGCCTAGGAGCCCTCAAGATGAACCTGAGCCTTGCTCTGCCGTGTACTCCAGGCTGCGCGGCCTTTGGGAAATTTATCGAACTTCTCTGGGCTTCAGATTCCTCCCAGATAAAGGACCCAGCAGAGTGTGTGACCTGACAGACACGCAGCGGGGTAATAATTACTGTGGAGTCCTCACTGCTGCTCAATATTCCTGTTTTGTGATGGCTACTTTACAGGCGCGATGAGGAGAAAAAAGCGGAGCAACCAGCACTCCACTCCCACCCAGAACCCTCCAGAGCCTGGGCTCACCCAGGCTTCCGCGGTTTTCCTGCTGCAACCCCCTAGCCAGGAACAAGGAGCTCAGCTTGGGATGGATGGAGCTCCCTCCTCAGGCCGGAGCCAACAGAAAAAAATTCCCAATGAAGATCAAAGGCCCCAGGGAAGGAGAAGGCCAGAGGAGGGAAGGAAATCGGGCCGGACGCCCACATCCACGGGACCCGAGTCGATGGCTGCGGCACCGCAAATTCCCCTGACGACCAGCTGAAGCTGGAAGCATCTCATCTGGTTGCTGGAACATTGTTTTTTAAAGATTTTATCTATTTATTTTTAGGAAGGGGAAAGGAGGGAGAGAATCATCAATGTGTGGTGCCTCTCGTGCACCCCCTACTGGGGACCTGGCTGGCAATCCTGGTGTGTGCCCTGACTGGGAATCGAACTAGGGACCCTTTGGTTCGCAGCTCGCACTCAATCCACTGAGCCACACCAGCCAGGATGGCTAGCACATTCTTTACTCGAAAGACTGTGGCCTCTCTGACCCCAATTAAGCCCCGCTCAATGAATGGTGCAGCAGGTACACTCTAGGACCAGCCAGCAGTGTGAGCTCAGGTGGGAAATAGTGAGCAAGCAGTGCGGCTGCGGTGAGTGTGGGGCTCAGCCCCAGCCCTCCGGTGCCCAGCTGCACTCACGCGCTCACCCTCCCAACAACCACCTCCAAAGGGCCAGCAGGCAGCACCCGTGCGAGCTGGGCCTTAGGACTGATACAGGAAGGGAAATGCCTGACCGGAGATTACTAGTGATTTTAATAAAAACAAAAACAAGAACCAAGAGTAAACACATCTATGACTTGGAGCTCAATAAAGTTGTTATACAGTTAACATGTACATGGTAAATGTGGGTGAAGAAACACGAAAACTTTGTCCTTTTTTGTGAGAAGGTTAGGATGTGATGAACGGCATTGGGACAGTGAGACCAGGGAGGCAGCGGCCCTTCCCCAGGAATGAGCACCGGCCGCCTGGGCGCTGTAGGCTCCATCACTGCTGGCCTGTCGGCAGCGGAGGGTCCCCACCGTGGTCGCTACCCTCGCCCTCCCCACGAGGATTCCTCAGGCAGCCTGGGGCCCGCCCACTGCCACTGCCACCAACACGTCCCGTCCCCACTGCTCCATCCCAGCGCCATTCACTGTGATTACGCTGTCAGATGCAATTCACAACTCTGCCACTTCCAGCAAGTCACGCAGAGGCAGGTGAGGGCAGGCCTGCCAGGGCTCCACAGGAGATGCCGGCCCCGGGCTAACTGCGGCCAACGATGGAGGTGGGGAAAGGGTTTGGCTCCGGACCAGCATCAGTGTAGGGCTGCGAGGGGAACAGGCCCACCTGTGGGGGCCCAGGGCTCAGGGCCATCCCAGGTGACTGCCAGGAAATCAGCCAAAGCAGGGTAACTTGGGGGGCCCCTCTCAGGAAGGTTCTTTCTCTTGTTCCAAATCTCTCTTCAGCACGGCCCCTCCCCTCTCCCCCACGATCCCTGAGCAGAGAGCGCTGCACACACAGGCCGACCTGGAAGGCTCCTGGGATGCGCGGAGCCCGAGTGCTCAGGTGAGCTCGCAGCAGGGAGGCTCCAGGAGGCCTTCTGACTGTGTGTCCTGGATGTGAGCAGCTCCCTGCGCTCAGAGTTCACTGGGAGGCGCCCTGACACTGACGAGGGAGGAGCGGAGCAGCCCACGGCAGACCTGTGCACCCGTCCTGTTGGTGCAGATGGCTGGGTTCTCCCACCCGGTCCTCCCTCTCAGTCTGCTTGTGGGGCGGGCGGCCTCACATCAAAAGGGAAAGTAACGACAACTTGAAAAGACCGTGGCCTTTCCTGTGCTGGCACGGACATGCCGATCGCTCCCCTTTCCACTGGCCATCCTGGAAGGCAGGCTTAAAGCCCAGTGGGCATTTTGTCCTTCCACCTCCCTCCTCCCACAGCTTGGGGCCCCAACTCGCTGTCCCTCCCCAGACCGGAGAGTGGTGGTGTCCTCGTCCAAGGCTGGCCGCCCTGTGTGTTGAAACACTGGGGAAAACGGGCCAGGCTGTCCTGGAAGGGAGCCAGGAGAGATCGTGGTGGCCGGGCAGCCCTAGTCGATGACACCTGGTGACCAGTTTGAAAGCGCCAGGTGGCCTGCAGTTGACCCCCCCGGTGGTCCCATCCCTCAGACTTGTCTTCTTTTGGAAAACAAAACAGCAGCATGAATGTTTTATAAGGTGGAACCGCCCATTTCCAGTCCGACGTCCGTCCCTCCTACGGCCTGGCTCCTGCACTGGGCAGCTTCTTCTTGGCTTGCTCGGCTTCCTTGTGGGCCACACTGACTGGGCCCAAAGTTTCAAAATGCTGGGTTCAGAGGAGGTAAAAATGCAACCCCAACCCTGACCCCCATGTGGGTTTTTATTCCCCCAAACTAAAAAAATGTATTGCAAGAGCACTATTAAAAAAGGAAATTTAAAAATTAGCCCACAGGACCATATAACAACTTAACCCATAAATCTGATTTTTCCAAACTCCCTTCCAGACTTTGTCCAGATGCATGATTTTTTGTGTAACTATACGCCCAGCGATGGCACTGCCTTGAAGTCGGCTTCTCTCACTCGACAAAGAACCGTCAGCACTTTTCCACGTGGGTTCCGTAATTGTTTCTAATAGCGGGGACAGGACTCCACTGGGCAGTGTCCTAACTTACAGTTGATCTGACTTTCAATGAAGAAGCGGCGGCGGCAGAGTCGGAGGCGGTGCTGTGGAGCTCACCATCACTCCACTTCCCGGGGGGCATCCCTCCAGAGGTGAGGGACGTGCGGAGCCCCAACACCACCACGACTCAGGAACAGACCTGTACTCCACCTGCCAAGAGCAATCTCGAGGGACCGGAGCGGCTGCAGGTCTCAGCCCAAGGTGCGAGGACGGAGAGAGCAGAGGGCTGGGAGATCGGGAAGAGCCTTCAGCGTCACCACGAGGACCTGCCTTTGGACCAGCGCAGCCAGGGCTCAGCCAGCAACTACGGACACAGACGGCTCCCGCCACATGCTTTACTACTCTGCTTTGTGCATGAAGCATTAATTAAAGAGGGACATCAACTCAACCAGTTTTTGAAAACTTATTCTTACCTACTGTACTTTGATCATAATGACATGAAACAGGAAAAAAAATAATTTTTACAGGGTTCACATTTATGAGTTTTTACATAAAAGCTTTTGTGGGTATTTTAAGAATGTGCTAAAATGCTGTCTGAAACCACATACAGTCATCTGAGGAGCTGCCCGCCAGCACTAACAGCACACACATGGAAGCACTTTAACTGGCCTTTGTATATTTAATGAGTCAAATAGCATTAATATTGTTTAAATGCTAACATACTATTTCAATAAGGTGGCTCTACCGTTGCCAGCAGCTCGCTGTTGGCCTCGCACGTCCATGCCAATGAGCGATCCAATGTGGCTGGGGCTGAGAACAGGCTACAGGGGACTGACCAGGCCCCGCCCTGGGCTCAGGCCCCGCCCTGGGCCCCGCCCCCGCTCCACCGGTTCCAACCCCCGCCCTCCTCCCACAGGGCGGTGTCCGGTCAGGCGGGATGCTCAGAGAGCACCTTCACAGCGTGGGGACCCAAGCACAAGAGCCAGCCTTTCCCTTCACTAGCATCCCACACACAAGGGGAGAAGGGCGTGTGACCCATTAGCCAGACAGACAACACAGGGGCTGCTGTCAGGGAGACGGTGGAGAAGCCGCCTCGGAAAGTCTCGAGCCACGCAGCGGTGGGGCTCCTGGAAGCTCCAGAAATGTCAGGGAGAGGGGTCAGATCAACCAAGGAAAAACTGGAGCAAAACTGCTGGGGTCCACAGACAGAGAGAGTGTCAACCGAGCGACACGGGCCCTACACGCAGTGTTGGTGGCTTTCAAGTCTTTTCCCCGAGAATGTTGACGTTTCCCAAGGCAAACAGAACGGCAGGGAATTCAACAGCTGGAACTAGGACAGAGGGGCTGCTCTAGGTTGGCTTTATAAACGCCAAAAGATCTGGTCGCCAGGGGACCCTCTGTGCTGGGCAAGCCGGAAGCAAAACACAAGACCCTCAGGTGGAGCTGAGAATTTACCAGCAAAGTCAATTACAATTAAGCACCTGGTTGAGTTTATTATTCTCTGTCACCAGTTAGATTTCCTGAACTTGGACCAACTAAAAGCCTAATGTGTCAGTAATTCTTAGAGTTCTATGTTGTTTGTCCTTGAAAATCACTCTTCCGCTTTGATAATGTCAGAGTCACATGTACAGATTCTACAACCATAACTCTTCAACCACAGGACTTCTGGGGAAAGGAGAAAAAAGAGAAAAAGACATAATACTTCACACTCAAAATGACCTACTTCACAACAGAAGAAGAAAAGAAAACACGCCGGCTCCCGAAGCTTTATGCAGTGCTTGAAGCCGAGGACCGCGAGGAGCCCGGGGATGGAACTGGTTTCGGGAACGTGAGCTGCAGCTGTGCATTAGCCAA